TGCAGATGAGCCCGGAGGACGCAGTGGGCAAGAGAGGAGGAGTTAGCATAGCGATAGGTTAGAGGCAGCCATAGCTGCCATAGCTGTAGTTAGTAATGAGTGTGTGTGTGTGCTCGAGTGTTAGAGTGATGCGTGTGGGATATCCAGGGTGATCCAGTGTATGTGAACAGTGAGATGTTTGGGCGCTGAAGTCGCCATAGCCAATTGAGAGTGAACTCGTGTCTGAAAGCCATATCTCCGAGTTTTTGAGTGGGCGCATGTCGCCAACCGTTTACATGCATGAAAAGTGTGTTTGAGAACGAGTCTGATTGCAGAGTCACTGAAGAGAGGTTGGACTTCACTTGAGCTTTGTGTTGGGAACGTGGCAAAAGTCGACAAGTTGGTGAGGGCTGAGCAGGTGGCAACATTGAACGTTGTCATGCGCATCATTGTGGACAAGGAGGGCTTTGGGGATGAGGTTGATACAACACTGGCTGTCATGGAGCCCATAGTCAAGCTGCTGCGTTTGGTGGACGGTCACTGAGCGACCATCAGCAAAGTGTACTTTGGCATTGACGAGATTGTGGCCCAAATGCGAACCCTCAACTGTCTGACGCAGGAAGAAAAGGTAGCGGTGGAGAACATTCTCATGGACCGATGGGCGTTCATGACGTCCGAGTTGCATTGCGCTGCAGCCTTCCTCGATCCCGAGCATCGATCGCAGACCTTACCGGGACACGGAGATCCGCACGGGTTTCAATATTTGGCTCCATTATTGGGAGCCATCGGATCACAGATGGAAATCAGCAAGCAAGTCGATGCTTGGGTTCGCGGACTTGGCACTTTCGGGACACAGAATGCAAAGGACCAGGCCGAAGTGCAAATACAAGCACTCTGATGGGAGGCATTTGGGGGTTCACTGGACCTCCTCCAACCACAGGCCATCAAGCTTCTCGGCCAGGCAAGCTCTTCGCCCGCGTGCGATCGAAACTGTAGCTTGCACAAGCTCATATACGGACAGCAATGCACCGAACACCTGTTCGAGAGACTAGCAAAGTTGGTTTACAAAAATAGGAACATCCAATTGAGTAATTGACCACGCGGAGGGAGCGCGGAGAGACAAGAGGACACCCACATTCCTTGGAAGGAAAATGAGCTTGCCAAGACTGAGGTGGAGTAGAGGTACAAGAACTGGACTTGGTAGGTCATTGAGGGGAGAGCCACTGATGCAACCACAAAGGAGGTTGCAGATGATGATGATGGAGATGGCCCCATGGTCCGTACTTAGCTAAGGAATGATGAGGTGGACAACCTCGCGGACAAAGAGGATGACATCGCCCAACTCAGTTCGTTGGAGCCCACTTGGCATGCGAACACGAAGCCAAGGAAGCACAGAGTGTGTGAGCTACGCAGAAAGTCGGGCCTCCAAGAGGCCCAACCTGGATTCCTTCACACGCTGGATGGCCATGGCCATGCCATGAAGGCACAACAAGCGGGCAATTGGATGCAGGGGAGGACGGAAGCGGTGGGCCATCGATAGCGGAAACGAAAAGCAGCAACACCCAGGCCCGAAGAGGCAGGGCCAACGCACAAGGGGAAGAGTAAGGAGGGAGATAATGAAGTCGTGCCGGCGAAGAGGAAGAGAGGGCGGCCTCCTCTTTCACCTGCAAAGAAGGATGCAAAGACTGCAGCCAAGGCTGCAAAGGCTGCAGGGAAGACCGCAGAAGAGGAAGAGGCTGCAGCCACGGCAGCAAAAGCAACCGATGCTGCAGAGGCGGCAAAAGCTGCAGCAGCCCAGGCAACGAGGCCGAAGAGGAAACCTGTGCCTCGGCCCTTGAGTCATGGAGGACGACGATGAAAATCCATATGGCAACGCCAACAGTGCAGTCTCCAGGATCGACGTCATCGTTGTCCAAAGGAAGCGCCCAATCGTCATCATCCACGTCATCATCAGAGGAGGATCTCGAGGAGGAAAGGTTCCAGGAAGAGTCTGGCAGGAGCACAAGTCAGGGGAGGAGGCAGAGTAGCCCGCACATTGCATAGATTAAGTCGACCAGGCCTGTTAGGGTAGTGTTCGCATTGTCGTCTGCTTTTCAAAAGCCAAACTTTTAACAATCTCAAGTGTCCTGTGTGTTCAGCACATTTTCTAAATTCTGATGAACATTTCTGAAATTTCGAGTCTTTCTTACTCTTTTTTGAAGTTTTTCAGTTCGTGTGTTCTTTAGAATTCGTTTTGTAACTTTCATTTCATGCTGTTCAAATGTTTGAAATTTGAATTTCATTCAAAATTGCAATAAGAGCAGGGCTGCAAACCCGGTAGGACCTGGGGGCCCTCCCCCAACCGGAACTGCACTGCTCCCACTGGCCGGTCGACTGGGCCGGTTTCCCCCCGGTTGGCCTCAGCGCATCTTGGTGTTGTACAGACCAAGGACTAGACCCACGGTGCTCACTGGCAGCAGCAGCTGGTGGTTGTCCTGACAGGATAGGCCACCTTCCCTACCCTTCCCCGCATTACTGCTCCCAGTGCACCCCCTATCCCTACTATCCTACCTCAGCGTGACCAGCACTCAGGACCATCAACCTACCAGTGTCAAGGGCAACTTGTACCAGACAGCAGAGACGAGCACCCCCTAACACTACAACCCCCACCCCCCTTTTCAAAGTTTTTAGGTGGGAACTACGGTCCTTCCCTGCCACTATAGCCCACAGCCCCCTTTTCAAAGTTTTGGACCGAAGGTTAACGTTTGCAGAAAGCCAGGTACGTTGTTGTCAATGTCTGCTGAAGCCTGTGCTTGCTGAAACCCCACAACTAACACCCTCACCATAAACCACCCAACCCCCGAACCTCAACCCCTGAAATACCCGGCATGCCGTGCACCGCACCGCATTGCATCACGCAGCTCATTCATGCGCCACAAGTATGGTAACTAGTGATAAATTGAGCTCATACTAGCAGCAGGACCTTCTGACTGATCTCCACATCCAGTTGCGGTTAGATTTGTCGGAGACGAGCCATAATGGCAAGTACACGCAGGGAAGTCAAAGGATGAGGATGCTCTGGAAACTAATTTAGCAATACCACGCCAGCAGACAATACACGGTATCAGCCCTAATAGTCACGGTCTTTCTCCCCACGCTGGAATACAACAATGTCTCACAGTTTGCAGCCCGTCTTGCATCTGCAGAGGACAGAGACGAGAATGTCTGTCCTCTTACCTCCATGTCAAGCAGACCCATCCGTTTTGATGAAATTATCATCATACATGTGCTCAATTATGCCAGACTGTTATGGATAGCAGGAGGCTTCAAAGTGTATTATGTGTGATTATCGACCTCCACTGTTGGATCCGTGCAAGGCAGACAAGGTTGCTGAATGCGCCAACCATACAGCCTCTCGTCACCCTCAGACACAAAAGCAACAACATCCCAAGGTGTTTTAGAAGCAAGTGCCAGTTAGGCACCTCAGGGGATAAAACGTTTTGGAAAACGGAACAGGTAGGCTTTAGAATCACTTACCTTGATAAAAATTACGAAAGTTCAGAACTACAAGGACAGAGCCGTGAAAACGATTGCCACGACATAGTTTGAAAAAGAACTAAATTGATGTTAGTACAGCAGAGTGGCATAAGGTGAATCAACATGAACTGCAAGAAATTAAATTAATATTACTAAGCATAAGGTGAATCACATGAACTGCAAGAACTTAAACTAATATAACTAAGCATAATCACATGAACTGCAAGAAAAAGTCAACCAAAGCAACCAAGGGATTGATTCAGCAAGTAAATTGGATTGAAGAAGATTGATTCACATATCAGTCTTCAGAAAGCAACGCCGACAACCGATCAACACCCTCAAATTTCCAGAATCCAAATTCTCAAACGCTTCCAAGCCCCACTGAATCTACATGCTTGACAAAAGTGAGAACTAGTCGTAAAGATGACCAGGGCAAATCTATTCAGCAGAAAACATAGCACAAGCAAAGCCAGGCCCTATGACCTCAATGCACATCGTGACCATGTGCCCACACATGTTAAGATAACTTCACAAGCTACAAAATCGCTCAACAGAGGCCATGTGACAGACAAACACAGCAGATGACCTCCAACCAGAGGACAAATGGCATCCACACCGTATAACTGAAACATCGCAAATCTTTCATTAAGGCTCACCAATGGAGTCACCATGCTTGCACCTTCAAGTGCGCACCCTATCATCAGCATACAGCCAGATCCATCACAACAACTCCTAATTCTACTAGGGTCCAACCTTCATTTCCCCACTAGCTCTCCATTTACAAACAGAAGCTCCACGGCAGCAAAGAAATTCACTTCCAGGCTCTTTTATACAAACGCAAGAGGTAAATCTGGCTTACAGCTGCCGAAGTCAGACCTTCCGCGTCCACTATCCTCTATACACCAGTTCAGACCCGTGTTAGCGCAAACGTGCACGGTCTTCCAGTCTTTCGTTCCACTTCCATATAGCTTAAACCAGTAGAGGGATTCGTCTGTCCTACTAGAGCATAAAATGCGCTCAAAACACACACAAGTAAAAAGAGCTCGTGAAAGCAACAAGCGAGTACCTAAACTTCCTTGTCATTCCACATGCAAGTTCATGTAGTTTGTAAAATAAAAACGCAAACCATAAAGAAAAAGTTCCACAAAAAGAAACTCCAGCAGTTCTTTGTCTGGTAATAATACGCTGGCATTGCCATACAGATAGCATTACCTTATAGATAAATCGCAAATGTGCTCCATATCACTCCTACCATTCAGAGAAAACAGAGATAAGGACGTGTTTTGAATCGAGAAAAAGGGGAAGGAGACCAGAAAGGCAACTGAGAAAAGGAATCACATAACAGCAGAAAAGGAACGAGTGACAGAAGTAAAGGGGAAACAAACATTCCCATGTACTTCTATCAGAGCTTTAGCTTTGTCTGTTGTGTTCTGCCGACCTCCTGAGAACCTCCCCCTCCAATCACCATCCTTGCACAACATACATAATGCCAGACACCCCATGCAAAGTGCCAAAAAGACCACCCAGACGAAGAAAAAAAAAAAGTGGTTTTGGACGGAAAAATGCATGAGAATTAAGGACAAGAATTTGAATTCACTTACGCCGCACCGGTCACAAAAAATGATACTGTTCGCAGCTTCACTGTCCCGGTTTCCACATACGGCACACACTGCTTCGGCATCGTCCCGCTTGGATGATGGCAGCATATCATACACAGGCTTCACATCTGTTCTCACAGATGGACCCAATGCTGCTGTTGCAACGACTGTTGGCACCGCAGTTGACACTCGAGGAGGACGTGGCAGAGGCGGCTTCAAGAGCTTCGGTACAGCTGCCGAATGCTGTGGAAACGACATATGGTTTGGTGACGTTCCATGTGATGGCGCCGCACCTGGGGAGGGAGAGGCAGGCCATGCCTGTAGAGCTAATGCCGTGACTGAGTGAGGGTTCTGTAGCGAAGGATTTTGTGAGGAAGGTGTGGCCACAGAAGAGGGAGTCTTCACAGTTTCCTCCTCCTGTTCTACAGGCTCTCTTCTAGCATCTCGAAGTCGTGGCGATGCCACAACAGCGGCAGTAACTGCAGCCAGATGAGCTTGTGCTTCCTTTTCACGCTTCTCCTTCCTTCCCTGTTTCTTGATTTCCCTCATCTGGAGTAGATACTGGTTCACAAGGGATTTGTTCCGAGCATGTTCCTGGGCAGCCCGCAGCTGCTCTGGCAACGCCGGGAGAATCAACCGGAGCAAGCGCTCTGCACACAATTCGATGAATGCCAACAATTTGATGGATGACAACAGGATGTCAGAGTCATCACATGCCGACAGAGATAAGAAATATGGGGTGACGCTTCTTAAATGCCATCACTTCACCACAACTTTGATAAGCATAACATTGAACGGTGAGAACACATGATCAGCCCACTGCCATCAAACACATCTGGTGACGTTCATTCTCATTTGAATAAAAGAATCAAACGTCAGCAACTAGTTTTTCAGCATGATTAACAAAAATAAAAAACTTACACGACCCACCCATTCTTTCTTTAGAGAGCTACCAAGGAGGTTTGGAGAGCAACTTGGGTGTCGATGGCGAAGGCAGTTAGGATACACTCAGTTTTGGATGCCCTTAAATCGATGGTCTTGCACACTTTCCACTTGCCAGCACAGATGTACCTGCCTTCTTTGACAGATCACAAAGCAATGATTCCACTTTATGCCTCATACATACATAACCATAAGGAGAAAGAGACAGAGGAGGGGTGGAGGGGGGAGGGGAGGAAGTGCATGACAATGAAAAAGAGAGTCATAAATCCTTTACTCAAACAAGTGTATGGGTGCGTGAGAATGAAAAAGAGAGTCATAAATCCTTTATTCAGACAAGTATATGCCCGAACCGTGCACCCTCGAGCCCTCAAGGAGGGGCCAGCGACAGCGGTGTGTCTTCACCACATAGGCAATGGCACGTGGGGCAGATGGCACAAAAATATAACCCCYCCCCCCCCCCAAAAAAAAAAGAAAAGACGAACAGGGAAAAATAGATCAAATAGAAACGTCTCTCTCTCTCTCTCTCTCTCTCTCTCTCTCTCTGTGCCTGCACACATGATCATCCACACCATCATCATCATCATCATCATCAACACCATCATGTTGATCGTCATGGTCGTCAACCGCCATTATCCCTCCATCTGCACACGTGATCATGGACATCATCATCAATATCATCATCATCAACGCCATCCTGTTCATCGTCATGCTCGTCAACCGCCATCATCTATCCTTTTTGTTCCCTTTTCTTACTTCCATCGTTCCCGCATGCGCTATTCCTGCGTCCTCCTACCATCACCACTCCATCATCTGTTTGTGTTGACATGTTCGGTGTACACAACTTCAGGAGAAAAAAAAGCATGACTGTGCTAGACTGTCCCATCCTCTGTATGCGTCTCTTGCACTTTCCTGGAGCCTTTCCCCTCCATCCACGCTCGTCGTCCTCCTCCCTCTTCCTCCATTCACACTCACCAGCCTCCTCCCTCCTCCATCCATGCTTGTCACCCTCCTCCCTCCTCCATACATGCTCGTTGCCCCCCTCCCTCCTCTGTCCATGCTCCTCATCCACCTCCCTCCACCTCCATCCTCACCACCCTCCTCCCTCCTCCATCCACGCTCGTCGCCCTCCTCCATCCTTGTGCATTGCCCTCCTCTCTCCGTGCTCATTGCCCTCCTCCCTCCGTGCTCGTTGCCCTCCGCCCTCCATCCTCACCCCTCCTCCAGCCTCCAGCCTCTATCCTCCTCTGTCATCGCTTTCGTCCTTTACCCTCCTCTCTATCATTCTAGTTTGAGTTGCCCTCCTCCCTCCGTGCTCGTTGCCCTCCCCCCTCCATCCTCCAGCCTCTATCCTCCTCTGTCATCGCCTTCTTCCTTTATCCTCCTCTCTATCATTATAGTTTGTCATCCCTACACCTCCCTACTCCCTCCTCCATCCACACTCATCGCCCTCCTCCCTCAAGGCCCGTTGCCCTCCTCCCTCCTGCTCCATCCATGGCCGTTGCGTTCCTCCCTCCTCCAGCCTCCATCATCTATCCTGCTCCATCATCTTAGCCTTCGCCCGCTATCCTCGTTTTAGTTATGTCCTCTCTACTCCTCCCTACTCCCTCCTTCACATTGCTTCTCGTCTTTCGTCGTCCTCCTCCACCATGGTCAACCTCCTCACCGTCACTGTTGCCTCCCGTGCAAACATGTACCGCTCCTCCCTACTCTGCAACTCCTTCACATGGCCTTCCTCCCTCCTCCCCCTCCATCCACCATCCTCCTCCCTCCATCGTCCTTGTCGTCATCTTCACTCCTCCTCCCTCCTCCTCCTCCTCCCCCCCCCCCCCCCCAATAAATGGTGTGCACATGTGTACGTGTGAGTGTTTGTCCCCTCAAAAGAGTGTGCCACCCTCCCTCCTCCCCTCGCTCATTCTCATCCTCCTCCTCTTCGCTCCTTGTCCCTCCTCCTCTATCACCGATGATGCGTGCGTGTCTAATCCTTGTCCCCCGCCTCCCTCCTCCTCCTCCATGATCGGCCTCATCAATGTCCCCATCTTCCTTGTGCCATCAGCCGGACACCGGGACACGCATGTGTGGGTGTTTGTGTGTCGTCATGTTCCCTATACGCAACTCCACAGAAAAAGCATGACTGCGTCCACCATAGTCGTATCCACATGTGTAGACGTGAATCGCGGAACCACAAAGCTTCTGCATGCACGCCCAGCCCCACACTGAAGGCCATTACCCGACTTCGGCTGAGAATGCCCTGCGTGATCATGAGCACTAACGTGAATTCTTGACAAGTGTCAATGGAGAATGATTGATGTGTTGAATTCTTGTCAGCTTGTGTTTCTGCTCGATCCTGCAGCTTCAACCTCATTATGTCAAGCCTGTGGTTATTTACCAGACTCGCAGAATCTGCGGGTTCTATAGATGCTTTTTCAGAGCCGTGACAGGCACCGACTTGCTACCTCTTCTGTTCAATAGAGAGATGATCAAAACGGAAGTACGACAAGGCTAGCAGCATGTCGGGACATCCGCCACAAAATTTCCCAGACACCCAGGGGAAAGAAAAACAAAAAAAAAACATCTGAATAAGAGGTATGCTTTGTAGTACAAGTAACTTCTGCCTGGGAGTCGTCTAGAAATTCCTACACAAATTCGAGTCGAAAAAGAAATACAACCGAAGCCAAAAACAACCAAAAAAAAAATTGCGCTGGGCCCAGAAAGGACGTCCACAGACATCCCGGACAACAAAAAAAAGTGGCCCAGACATCCAGGCATATAGCACAGAAGTACAACATCCATGTTTAATGTTAACCACTTGTACATTTACCATGCAAATATCACAATAGCGTCAATTTGTCCTCCTATTCTAAGCATCACCGCTGAATTTTGTCATTGCTTGGCATTGCACAGGCAGAGGCTCCTCATCCTCCCTATTCTCAATTCTCAAGTAACATCCATCTAAACGGCCAATCAAAACTTCGTTTAAGGCCACATGCCTCTTTCCACGCCTATGAGATCTCTTGTTTCTACTTCTGAAGCTCTTCTATAAAATGTTGAGTGATGTTAGACAATGAGCTATCACGAGCTGTGGTATATCTGAGCTCCCAATCAGCTGCACGTGCCCGTAGGGGCACTTGCACAGGCGAAGTACACTACGTGATGATGGTACTGAGAGCCTCGGGCCATACTGCCAGGTACCGAATAGAATTGACGCTGAAAATGACGAAAGACATCATGCACAAGTGCCCATGCCCAGTTGTGATGTGGTAAATTCAATATATGTTTTAATATCATAAATCGATCTATGTTAATAAAAACAATACATATACAGTACATCTCTGTTTGAAGATATGTATACATATATATTTGTCACAGCCCCTCGTTTATTGTCCTCTTCTCCCTCTCTGCCTACAGTTTACCAGGCAGCTCTGTTTGACTATATATACTTTTACATGGTTACCTGTTGCAGCTTCGCCCGCAAAAAAACGAGGGGGAAAGGGTGCACATGAGGGTGGTTAGGAGTTTGTTGGTCGGGTGTGGGTTTGGGTGGGGCGGGGTGGTTTTTAGGCTCACCTGTGGATTGTTGTTGACACTGCCGATGGAATGCTGCTGCTGCTTTGTAAGCCTTGGATAGATATTTTATTATTTTTCTTTCCTTTTTTTTGCTTTTTTGTCCTGTCAAACACCTGATCACAATCCTTTCAGTTGTGGTTCTGCTGGGTTGCTGGTTGAACTCACCTGTTGTGTGTGTCACACTTTGCATACCTGTCTCCCACTAACCAAAAACATTTTTTTCTCAGATGTCGGGAGATAGCAATTCTGCGATCGCGTGGGGGGGAGGGGTCGAGGTGCACAGTTAGTTAGATTGGGGTCTCTCTCTCTCTCTCTCTCTCTCTCTCTCTCTCTCTCTCTCTCTCTCTCTCACACACACACACACACACACACACACACACACTCTC